CACCCCCCTTTCTTCCGCACCCCCCTTTTCTTCCGCACCCCCCTTTCTTCCGCACCCCCCTTTCTTCCGCACCCCCCTTTCTTCCGCACCCCCCTTTCTTCCGCACCCCCCTTTCTTCCGCACCCCCCTTTCTTCCGCACCCCCCTTTTCTTCCGCACCCCCCTTTCTTCCGCACCCCCCTTTCTTCCGCACCCCCTTTCTTCCGCACCCCCCTTTCTTCCGCACCCCCCTTTCTTCCGCACCACCCCCTTTCTTCCGCACCCCCCTTTCTTCCGCACCCCCCTTTCTTCCGCACCCCCTTTCTTCCGCACACCCCCCTTTCTTCCGCACCCCCCTTTCTTCCGCACCCCCCTTTCTTCCGCACCCCCCTTTCTTCCGCACCCCCCTTTTCTTCCGCACCCCCCTTTCTTCCGCACCCATTCTCCATGCCACCCCACTACCCCCCTCCTCTCTCCCCCCTCACCTGGATGGGCGTGCCAGTGAGACACCAGCGGGCGTCAGCTTGCAGCGCAAACGTGGCAGCAGCGGCACCAGACGCGCGGTTCTTGATAAAATGGGCCTCGTCCAGCACCGCTCTGCACCACTGCACACTGTGCAGCGGCCCCTGCCGCACCGGGGGCGGCGGTGGCGGGGGCGGGTTGAAGCGCGAGGGCGGGGGCGTGCAGGCAGATGTGAGGAACTCCGCGGGGAGCGGGACCTGCTGTGCTGCTACGCTGTCCTCTGCCGCTTTCTTGTTGAACTTCTGTGGATGGATGGTGGAGGTGGAAGGGAGAAACTGTCTGTTAAGCATCTCACAAGCAGGCAGAGGTGAGGAACTCCGCGGGGAGGGGAGGGGGACCTGCTGTGCTGCTACGCTCTCCTCTGCCGCTTTCTTGTTGAACTTCTGTGCAAGGGAGAAGACATGGTGGGAGGTGTTGGAATGGAAGGGAGACTATCCGTAAGGCACTTCAGAAACAGGCCCGCCGGAGGGCCGCGGAGGGACGCCGAGGGTTGCGGAGGGTTGCGGAGGGTTGCGGAGGGTTGCGGAGGGTTGCGGAGGGCCGCTCAACAGGCGGAGGTGAGGAACTCCGCGGGCAGGCAGAGGGGCCTGCTGCGCCAACACACTGTCTTCTGCCGCCCTCTTGTTGCACTCCTGTGGATGGTGGGAAGCGTGGTGGGGTGTTTGGTGGAGGGGGCGGCAGGGAGGGAAACCCAAATCTGAGGTGCTTGCTTGTGTCAATTTGAGGGGAGTGAACAACTTTGACGCCAATTCACAAGCCAAACTCCAAAAAAAAAAGAGGAAAACGAGCCTGACGAGTCGTCTCAGGAAAGGCTGTCTCATCATCACCTTGTACTCGGCCTGCAGCGTGCCATAGGTGGTTATCACCACATGATGCTGCGCTGATGCATGAGGCACCTCAGCTCAGATAGCATCCCATCACTCGCCAAGCTATAAGGCACCTCAGTAAAGCATCATCTCATCACCTTGTACTCGGCCTGCAGCGTGCCATAGGTGGTGATCACCACGTCATGAGGGTGCCCCAAGAAAGCATTATAAGCATCATCTCATCACCTTGTACTCGGCCTGCAGCGTGCCGTAGGTGGTTATGACCACGTCATGCTGCGCCATAAAGCGCGCCTCAAAGTCGCGGCGCTGCGAGCCATAGTACACCATCACTGACAGCACGCCCGGTGCTGTGTGCGCCTCACACTCCGCCTGAAGGGGGGAGCAGGGGGGGTAAGACAGAGAGCGGCAGAGAGTACCTCTGAGCTGACCGATAGTCCGCTTCATAGCCCCTCCGCTGCGAGCCATGGTACACCATCATTGACAGCACGCCCGGCGCTGTGTGCGCCTCACACTCCGCCTGTTGGTTGGGGGCGGGTTGGGGGAGGGATAAAGAGAGAGAAGTAAAGAGTAGCTCTGATTCGCACCGCTGCGAGTCATGGTACACCGTACACCATCACGGACAGCACACCTTGCGCTGTGTGCGTCTAGCACTCCGCCTGAGAGGGAGAGAGGAGTGCGGAGGAAGAGAGGGGGAGAATATCTGCTGTACCCTTGTTTTATCCATACAATGACCGCTTGAAAAAACACAGCAGCGTACCCACTTTTTGAATGACTTTTGGGGAGCCTAAAAAATGACACAGTGAAGGACATGGGATTAGGGGACAGGGGTAGAGATGAGGTGCGATGGGGTAGACTGCACAGGAGACAGACCAGAGAGCGCACCTTTCAGTAACTCGGAAAAGCCATGGGGATTGAGTTCAAGTGGGGAAAAGGGCGTAAGAGCAAGGAGACACGTTTGATAATTCTGAGAGATTCTCAAAAGTCATTCAAAAAGAGGAAGGCACAGGAAAAAGGACAGAGGGCGCACCTTCCACTGGCTGAGGAGTGACATGGGGCACACTATGAGCGTCCCTCCTTGCACCCTCCTGTCCCTGGGCTTGCTGCCGTTGCCGTTCCACTCCTCTACCTCCCTACCACCCTCCTCTTTTGTCTCCTCTGGTGACTCCTCTGCTCTCCACGTCTCACCTCCAACCTCCTGCACCTCTGCATCGCTGTCAGCACCGCCACCATCGCTGTCAGAACTGCCAGCATCAGCACCACCACCATCATCTCCCTCTTCACCAGGCAAGTACTCCTCATCCTTATCGTCTTGCTCACCCTCATCCTCATCATGGTCTAAAAACACAGCGTCGCCTCCCTCTCCTATTCCCGCTTCTGCCTCCTGCATCACACCCTCCCCCACCTCCCTTTTCACTCGCTTCTTCCTCCTTGAACCAACACGAACCCCTCTCTCTGCTCCCGCCACCGCACTGCACTCCTCTCTCTTCCGCTTCACACCCCCAAGCGCCTCCCCGTCCTCCTTACAAGCAGCACCATTGGCAACAGCGCATTCCCCGTTTCTCCTCTCTCGCCTCTCATCCCTCACTTGTTTCCCCGCCTCTCCTCCGTCCATCTTACCCGCCACTCCTCCCAGTTTCCCCATTGTTCCCCTCGCCATCGCCTTCCCCCTCTCCCTGTTCGCCTTGCTCGCAGCAATGAGAGCTATGGTCATAACCGTCTTGCCAAGACCCATGGCATCTGCTAAAATCTGAACCAAGGGAAGGTGAGAGGTGAGGCAGGAAGGGAAAGAGAGGGGGAACAGGAAAAGGCGAGTTTAAACCAGTGCAACGGTTCATACCTGTCTAATATAAAGCCCGACCCTGAACGAAGTGAGGAAATTCGAGGGAAAGAGGGGGAAACAGGGGTGGTGGAGGGTAGCGAAAGGGGTAGGTGCGTAGAAGTCCTGATACGTCAAAAAACTCAATACACGCGGAAAATCAGAGCTAATCCCGTTGAAACTTGCTGTTCTTGACAATTATATTTGACTTGTCTAAATCCAAGGGTTCTATGTTCCAATCCCGTTTCCCCTCCACCACCACCACCCCTAACTCCCTCAATATCTTCTGCCTCTTCCCACTCACCCCTCCCCTGCTTCTCTCCATTGCGCTTGGAAACTCCAGGGTAACTTCCCCTGAAAAAACGTTGTGATAGAACGGCGTGCCACCACTGAGAGGGTGGAAGAAGCAGAGTCATAGGAAACAAGAGGGATGTAGTGCGAAGAGAATTGAAGCGGGTAGAGGGTGAGGGGGATGGAAGAGGGAGGAGAGGGATAAAGGGGTTCAGGGGGGGACCGGGGTGAGGGAGAGGGGCAGGGGGCGCACGGATGAATGCAATGGAAAAACGGAAGAACAGCGGTGCATCTGGTGCGCCAGAGTGGTGCATCTGAAACACACGCAGTGCAGTGCAGCCTGGAACATGGAGCATCAAATGCGATGGGGAATTTTCAAAAATTGAAGGAGGACAACATGGAATGTGATGGGAACTGTGGAGTGAGCAATGGGCAAACATGCTGTGGGCCCACTTGCAGTGAGGTGTATTTTGAGGCGCCTCAAAATACACCTCAGTGGGCAAACATGCTGTGGGCCCACGGCGTTGGGATGGGACTTTGATTCTCTCACGCACTTGTGCTGAAGCATGTACTCCTCCCAACACGGGTGCAGCGCATCGCACTCATTCACTGCACCCGTCCTCTTGCCACCACCAGCACCGCCGCCACCATCGGCAGCACCAGCACTACCACTGGCATCAGCAGCTCCTGAACATGAAGAAGTGGAGATTTCAGCAGTTGCTGCAGCATTTCCTGGCACGACCTGGCCATTCCCCGGCACAAGCTCGCCCTTCCCCGGCACGGTCTGCCCCGGCATGGTCTGCCCCATGGTTTCCATGGACAGCATCCAGTGCAGCGCCTGCTTCTGGTAGCACCGCAGCTGCGAGGTCACACCAGGGGGGGGCTCCATCTCCTGGACAAAGGGATTTGCATGAACGACGATAGCGAGGGACGGGTGGAGAAAGAAGAAGGAATGATTCGGTTCAGTCTGGTGCGCTGTAGAAGATCCTAAACTCTATTTCCAAAACTTCACTCACCCCAGTCACCGGGAGCGAGGCACGTTTGAGACAAGTAGGTACATGGCATGGAATGGCATCCCACTCACCGGCAGCGCCTGGTTGTTGGTGGTGACGTGACACCCACGTAGCAGTTGACTCTCTAATCGCCCTTTTACTTGACTCGTAAATCATCAGGAAATAAAGTGAAGTGAAGGGAGCCGCAGCCCAACTCACCGGCAGCGCCTGGTTGTTGGTGGTGACGACGCCCGTATCGGTTCACCTCCTCGTCTGTCATCGCCTTCTGAGTTGACTCAAAAGTCAGCAGGCAGCAAGGTAAATGGAGTTCTCAGTTTGCTGCTATCCCCTGCCCGCTCACCGGCAACGCCTGGTTGTTGGTAGTGACGCCCACGTATCGGTTGACCTCCTCGTCTGTCATCGACTTTGCCTCCTCCTCCCCCCCCTCGTTACTCTCACCCCCTCCTGCAGTCGCTCGCACTCTCTTAGATGCTGCCTGCTGGGAGATGGAATGAGGGTGGCAGGCGTGGGGAAGAAGGGGGGCATTGAGGAAAGCGCACAAAAAAAAGGGGGCCATTGAGGAAAGTACTCACGAAAGTAGTTCTTTTTTTTTTTTTTCTTTTTTTTTTCTTTTTTTTCTGGAAAGTGCATGTGGGAAGGGGCGCAATAAGGGCAGCGTAAATGGGAGGGGAGGCATCAGGAAATGGGGAGGAGTTTTGAGAGACTCTGAACGAATCTGAGACGCTTTGAAACGTCTCAAACACAAAGATTCCGAATGACTCTTAAAAGTTGACTCTTAAAACTCACTGGCAAGTGGATGAGGGCAGCACTCGTGGGAGGGGGGCGGGTGTGTGGAAAGTGGGAGGGTTGCGAGGAGAGTAGGAGGGGCACAAGGGCAGACAGAATGAGGAACACTTGGGTGAGTGGGGAAATCATGGGTGAAGTGAAGCACATCCCGAGCCCAGGTGCTCACCTGGTTTTTGAGGCGTCTCAAAACAAACCCGGTCAGCAAAAACGAATTTTTAAGGCACCTCAAGAATCCCAAGCTCAGGTGCTCACTAGGTTTTTGAGGCGCCTCAAAACAGACCTGGCCAGCAGAAACGAACTTTTAAGGCGCCTCAGAGATACCAAGCTCAGGTGCTCACCCGCTCTGAAAAGGCAAAGGTGAAGCCCAGCTTCTCTGTGTGACGGTTAAAGTCCGCTGGAGTGAACTCCGCCTGTGCCCACCACAGGAGGGGCGGAGGGGAGGAGGATGGGGGAAGAACGGGGATCAAGGAGTGACTACAAGGGGAGTTCCCATGGCAGAAGCGGGGGTGCGGAAGAAAGTTGTTAGGCTGCATTTGTGTGTGTGTGTGTGCGTGCGTGCGTGCGTGCGTGCGTGCGTGCGTGCGTGCGTGCGTGCGTGTGTGTGTGTGTGTGTGTGTGTGTGTGTGTGTGTGTGTACAGTTCCAATTCGCCTACCTACCGGAAGCAGTTTCCAAGACCCACCGGGCGGGTAGGGCGCAGCTCCAGCAAGCGCAGCAGCGTGGTGATGTGGGCGGCTGTGCACACATACAGCGCGTGTGCTGCACGCTCCTTCACCCGAGTGAGCTTCTGGAAGCAGCACTCCTGCACGTACACCCTGGCAGGGAGCAAGGAAGCGGCAACGAGCAGGAAGCAATGAGCAATGAGCAGCAGTGTGGGGATGTGGGCGGCTGATCGCGTGTGCTGCGCGCTCCTTCACCCGAGCGAGCTTCTGGAAGCAGCACTGCTGCATGTATACCCTGCCAGGGAGCACAGAGAAAGGAGGAGCGAGCGCACACAAGTACGGACACAAGTACGGACACAAGTACGCACACAAGTACGCACACAAGTACGCACACAAGTACGCACACAAGTACGCACACAAGTACTCCAACCCAACCTCTGAGGCGCATTAAGAACAGACTTCTGAAGGCAGCACTGCTGCACGCACACCTGGCATGGAACAACCAGGAGCCGCGAGCGTGCAACGAGCAATGAGCCGCGAGCAATGAGCGAACAGAAAGACAGTGGCCGTGATGTCAGAACAGAACTACGCTCCTGAAGCGCCCTAGAAACAGAGTACTGGAAACAGCACCACTGCATGCACACCCAGCAAGGGAGCACACTGAAACTGAAAGGAGCAAAAATTAATCATTCTGCAATTGCATAGCGCACCTGAGTTTGCATAGCGCACCTGACAGTGAGTAGGATCTCGGAGAACATGGCGAGGCATGGCGGGGCGGAGCACACATATCCGCGCAGCCTCACCTTCCCCTCCGCCTCCAGTGGTATCAGCGCCGCTGCCCACTCCCGCGGGAGCGACCCCACCTGGCAGCCGCGCGAAAGGGGGGAGCGAAGCGGGTAAGAGGGGCGGAGAGTAAGCGGGGATGGAGAGGAGGGAAGGAGAGGAGGTGAGAGGGTAGGAGGGGCGGAGAGTAAGCGGGGATGGAGAGGGGGGTAGGAGAGGCGGTGAGAGGGAGAGATTCAGCAAGCAAGGAAGAAAACGGACTAGGAAGTGGAACTGAGGGATACCTCCCCTCCTCTGGCCATTCCAAAGCGGACAATGGAGCTCCCAGCAGTCGACCCCGAAAAGACTGGCGATTCAAAAGCTTTTTCACTACACGCGGTTTTCACTCTTAAGTGAAGACGCGTACATCGCCTCCTCGCTTTGTCCCAAAACGGACGATAGAGCTTCGAGCAAACGACTCCCAAAAGGACTATTAAGGCGCCGCAAACGCCATTTCACTACAAGCAATGTTCACTCTGAGGGGGGGCGCGTACCTCGCCTCCTCGCGCTTACCTCGCCTCCTCGCTTTGTCCCAAAGCGGACAATAGAACTCCCAGCGGACGACGCCCGGTATAACGTCTTGCTCCACTTGGGCGGCCTTCCGCGCGCCTTTCCGCCATCCTTTCCGCCCTGCTTTCCGCCAACGCGCCCGCTCCCCTCGCCACCACCGCTCGCCTCGGCTTTCGGGAAGTGGAAATCCACGGGGTCGAACGCTTCCACCTTGGCGCCACGTGTCAACGAGACGCAGGACACGTGGCGCTCTCCCAGGAGCCACCAGCGCGACGCTTCCGCCTTCGCTTCTCTCCACTGGTTCTTCAGCTTCGGATGCGGTAACGGGTCGATGGGGACTGGTTGCTGACGTGAAAGTTCAGATACGGGAGGGAGTGCAGTAGCTACAGTAGCAACTGTAGGCATGGGAGGATTTGTAGAAACGGGAGGAACTGCAGAATCGGGTTGAGCCGTAGCTACAGGTGATACTGTAGATGTGGGCGGCACTGCCGATGGAGATGGAACTGCGGATACGGGCGGCAGTGAATCAGGCGGATCCATCGAGTCTGGCGGGGAGGAGTCAGCAGTCGGCTGGGTGGGGTGTGCGTGCGGCTCCTCGCGAGGGGAAACTGCAGCGCGAGGCGAGTGCACTGCGCACTCTCCGCCAGGGCCCCGGTTTGCGCTGGAACATACGGGCTCAACCACAGTGTCCGGGGAAATGCTCGACGTGGGGGGGACTGCATCATCGTTTGGCGCACCGTCGGGGGAAACTGCGGCACAAGGTGCGCCCACTAAGCCAACTCCGCCTCCGATCGCAGTGTTCCCCGCGAACTGACACTCTGCCTCGGGGCGCGCGGGCTCGCGGATGCTGTCTGGGGAAAGGCTCACCGCTGCGGGCGGTGAAGCGCCGGCATTTGGTGATGATGGCTCTTCGAACGGGGAATGTGATGTGCAGTCTCCGCCAGTGAGAGCGCCCGTTCGACGAGCCGCTTCTGCCTCGAAAGGCGCAGAGTCTTCAACCCGCTCCGCAGGATTAACGGCTACACCCGCTTCCGGCATCGCGGCTTCCTCCATTGCCGCTCCCGCAACCTCCGGCGCATTATTCCCTCCGATCTTCTTTTCTGCAAGAGAAGCAGCGGCGACACAAGGGGGACGCGGGGAGAGCGGCGGAGAGGTGGCGGAAACGGGGTGCGGTTGGGATGGCGGAAGCGCTAAAAGCTCTCCGCGCATTTCCGGCGGAGGGGAGGCGAGGGGAAGCGGTTGACGCGATGAAGCTAATTGCTCAAGCGTGAACTTTTCAACCTGAACAAGGTCCAAGTGGTAATTTATCGCCTTCGCGACGTCGCCTCGCGCGAGATAGAGTGCTCTGTAGAGCGACGTTTCCGACGGCTCGGTGCCTAGAACTGCTCGCATAGCCTCGAAAGCCTCGGGAGTCCCGAAGCTCGCCATTTTAAGGAACTCCAGTTTCTGAACAAGGAATAAGGTAGTCTCTAAATGGTCGAGAGTTATCTGACAAACTGAGATGGCGTGTACAAGCGGGAAGAGGGTGCCTTAATGGTTAGTGGTTGAATGACATCCTGGATTAGCTTGCATAATGAGAGAGAGGGAGAGAGAGAGAGAGTAGCTAACTACACATAAGCAGCGCAACGAGTTTCGGCATGCGAGTCCCCATGAACCACAAGGGCATGGCTGTGATTCCCATCCCATGCGGTGGAATGGTGTTGCTGCTCCCAGCAGGTAAACCAATTCAAAACGCGAGTTTGAAATTCGAAAGCCTGCTTGAAATAGGTCAGAGCGCTGGCAACGACAGAATATTTGAAGGGCTTAAGTGAGGTGTTGTGGGATGGGGTAGGGTGCAACTGTTCGAGATCTGTGCGGCGGGGAAGGCGTCAGGGTGAAGCGATAAGTGCCTTGCGGGGTGGCGGGAAAGGCAGCCAAGCCCGCCAATAGGTATACCCCTGCCCTGTGCGGGTTGTGCGGGGCATGAGTGGCTGTAAACGAACACTTCAAGCCCTGTCATTGTTGCCCTACAAGGTGGTCACAGGAATGGCCTAAATGGTTCCAGTGCACTACAATTCTAATGTAAGCCAGAAAATAAACAATTTTCATAATGGCTTGTTAAGGCCTTATTCATGTTGACGTAAAAAAACTTAGGACATAGCAAGATTCATAGGACAAGCATTAAAATGACGAATTCCCATAGTTCTACTCTTAACCATAAACAGACAGTAAGGTTAGCAGTACCGATCATGCACAAAGACACATGTCCATGCCAAAAAGGACTTTATGGCAAGGATTCATGGACGTAACACAGAAAGAGCTCTGCATACCAGGGGTTTCCAGCAGTGTAGCAAACACCAGCGGGCCATTTTGGCATTCTTCGCCCCAAGGACTCACAGCAACCTGCGCTGCGCCACAGGTTGTGATGACCCAAAATGCACTGAGAATCCAGTGCAATGTGCCACCCTTGGCAGGCTGATGCAGCTCTGTAAGGCCACGCTGGGATGATCCTTCAGCAACGAAGGAACCAATCCCGAGGTTATACATCAGATTATACATCCAGCACGGCCACAAGTAGGAAGTCACAAGGCATTAGGGTATTACCCGAGGCCAAGGCTGAGCTCCAGATCATCCGAGCGCATCACAGGGGGAGGCTTCATGGGCGCCTCTACATCCCAGCTCGTCGCCATGCGCCGCACACCAGCCGCCCACTTGTTGTCCTTCCCTCCCGCGGATTTGAACTCCACCGTTCGTTGAGGTCCCAGCGCTCCGCCGCGTGTCACGCTTCCGCACTGAGGGCTGATGCTGGTGTGCGCGCCGCCGCTGAAGTTGCCGCTCCGGGAAGGCGCGGGCATGGAACGGTCAGCGGGAGCGGCAGTGGTTGGAGGAGGAAGAGAGGAAGATGCGGACGACTGGACGACGTTGGACGCGCCTTGCAGCAGACCCAGCAGTAACTGCTGCTGCTGGTGCTGCTGTTGCTGCTGCTGCTGCTGTTGCTGTTGTTGCTGCTGTTGAGAGAAAGCCAGCTGTTGCTGAAGTTGTTGCTGCTGCTGCTGATGCTGCTGATATTGTGGCTGTTGCTGCAGCGGATGCAGCGAAACCACGGGATTGGCTGCCGGGACGGGAGCCATCGGTCTTGGGATTGCCGAGGACGGTGCAGCAGCGCTACGAGACGACTGCAGCAGAGAGTAGATATCCGACGGCACGGCGGAAGAAGCGGGAGCAGGCGGTCGATTACCTGGCAGCGATTGATCCCCGTTATTAGCACCTCCTTTAGCGAGAAGCATCAGCACCTGCTGCACGTCCGATGACGCGGCGAACGACGGAGGCAGGCCGAGCGACGATGCAACGGCCGCGAGCGACGCGGCGGAGGAGTTCAGCGCTGCGCCCAGCTGCGCCGCCGCCGCGGGGAAAGCGGCGAGCGCGGACATGAGCTTCAGCAGCTCCGCTGCAGGCGGCGCAGCCGCTCCGCCAGCCTGCGCAGTTCCGCCAGGCTGGTTAGCTCCGCAACCACCCGCGTTTCCTCCTCCAGGCGCAGGTCTAACTTCCGCCATCGGCGCGGCGGCGCCAAGCGAAGCAGCCCCAACAGCGGAGAGCCCGTTGTCTCGCCCATGCGTCGCGGCGCCAACGCCGTTGACAGGGCCGCGGCCGTGGTCGGTGCTTCCCGCAAGAGACGCTGCATGGTCGTAGTCGGTACTATCGAGAGCGTTGACATTCGACGAGGGGTACGGTTGCACGGCGCTGTCCGTAGGGTAAGCCGAGTCGCTTCCTGCTGCCGGCTCGGGCTGCTGGGGTCGCGGCTGACCCTGAAACGCGGAGACGAAGACATACAAAGAAAAAAAAGCGATAGGTCAGATAACTTGGCAAAGAACGGTGGAACGACGAGCGAAAATATGAAAAATATACGATAAGATTAGCACGCGGAATAGATACAGAAGGAAAATGATGTGTGGCGCGGCGCGGCGCGGCGCGGATGAGGGTGTACCTTTCGGTAAGTCGTTCCGTCCTCCTCGACAATCCAGCCGGCCTCTTTGCACACTGCCTTGAGCACCTCGTTGTTGTCGCAGTGTTTCGGCAGATCGTAGTTTCCATAGGTGCGCAGGCCGGTGAAGATCTTTGCTGCTATGGCGCGTCGTCTTCTCTCCCTTCGTTTGTTATTCTCACGCTCTTTCCACGTCGGCAGGCGTTGAGCCGTCGAGCCCCGATTCGACGGAATCAGCCGATTGTTGTCCCGCTGGAACTGCTTTGAATCCTCCTCCACGTCATCCGCGTAACTCGTCGCCAGATCCATGGTCGAAACCCTAACGAAGCTACAAAGGGTCAACTAGACTTGAGACAAACCCGAAAAAGAAACGCTCGATAAGAATGTGTACAACAGAAGGTGAAAGAAGGCCAGGAACTACCAGTGACAGGATACACACGGCACACCACAAGGAAATGAATGGGCGATGTGAACTAATCAGGGAAATCAGAGCAGAGGGTGGTGCTGTTGGGGTTTGGTTTGATACATCTGGTTGGCGAGGAGGGGAGGGAAATCGATGCGTTGGGTGGAAGGGAGGTGAATGTTGACAGGGCAGGAGAAGGGGGCACCTCCGCTCCGCTAGCTGGTGGTGGTGAATACATGTGCATTCACCGCCAGTGTAGTACAGTACGTACGTGTGTGTGACATCTGAAACAGGGTTGGGTACGTTGCGCTGGGTTGGGTTTGGGGCAGAGATAATCCTGCGCGGGAAGCGAAGCGGAGATCCAACCCTTATCCGCCAGGTGCTGTTCTTTCGCAGCCCGTCACCCGTCCGTGACATCCTCGGGAAGGTGGGGGCTGTGCGCAGATTGGGCTGCGCGCGCAACCGAACTCGCCTAGATTTTCAAGATGCATGCAGACTTGTCCCACGGAGGCTCCGCTCCACCCCCTAGTGCAAAGGACAATGGCGACATGCTCAACTTGGTGGAAGTCGAACCAAGCGCATGGAAATTCTATCGCAGGTGCTCGTGCAGGTGGAGGTGGATATGGCGAAAGGACGATGCATGACGACTAGGGTGGTTGGGTGGGGGGCACCCCGTACGTGGTGTGTAACCGTGTGGTCCGGCCCAGTCTGGTTTTTTCTGTGCTGGTGTTCGTCGTCGAAAGCAGAGCGGGGAGGATGAGGGGGAGAACAGGGGGCAAAGGGGAAGAGGGGGGGGACGGGTGGAAAGGAGCCGCTGAGTGGACCACAGCGCGCGCATCACTGATGAAGATGTGCGCGCAGTGTGCGCGCGGTACGCTTTGCAGGGAAGCAAGCTGCCAAGCCAAACCAATTGGGAGCTGCACGCATGGTCGAACGGGCAATCGCCCGCACGGACCCTTCCCCTCGAAGTCACGACACGACGACACGGCAGGGTGAAGTTCTTGCGAAGGCTCACACACGGCTCACGAATGGTGGGCGAGCCACACGTGCCACGCATGCACGGCGTACAACTGGTTCCTGCTGCCAATTATGCATGGAGAGTAGGCTCAGTAGATTGCTGTGGCTGGCTGGCTCAAGTGGGCAGCACTTCAACACCAGCAAAAGAAATTTCTTTTATCTAACTCGTGTTACGGAGTATGTAATGCTTGGAGTTACATCATATACATCTTATAAGTGGAAAAGGAGTTTCTGTAGTTACAAATTCGAATTACTTCCCGAAACTGAAGGCCACAGATTAGATCCGATTCTCAATGCGAAAAAAAGATTTGAAGGGAACGTTGAAACATGGAAAGAAGCAACTCGGAAAGTGAAAAAAAAATATGACTGACATCACCTCGCTGTGGGGGACTTGGCGCTGGGAGCCTGGGACAGGACTTCGCCCCCAACATTCACCTCCCCCCAGGTCCCACTGGGCAGATGGCTTGGCATGGAGGAGGCAGCAACCCAGGAGTGTACAGTAAACCTTCGTAAAGACTTCGGAAAAGTATCCATGGGGTAAATAGTGTGTTAAAGTCTGTACACGTTATCAAAAGTATCGGAACACGAAATGGTGAAGCACACTTGACGCTAACAGAACACTCTGGGCAGTTTGGTTGGACCACTTGAGGACGCTTCACGTGTGAATGACACCACCGCACTCGATGCCTGTCAAGGCCCTCCATGGCACCGTTTCCTTGCCACCACAAACTACAGCGCGGGCTGCACTGTACTGAAAATACAGCGCCACCCAAAAGCTCTGGTTCAACCCGTAAGGTCTCATTTTCCTTGTGATGCTTACCGGTGGGACGTCAGGGTAACCGCCCGGAAAACAAACTGCCCTTGAAAATCAGGCATCATGGAAATGTAACTGTCCGGCACAGCAGCCTCCCCTCAACTGTCGACCTCACGATCAACACCTGTCAACGGCTCCGCGTGCCAGATTACGCCGATTTGATACGGAGGTCGGGATTATGTTGCAACAATGAGCTGTGGATTCGTCAAAGTTTGGCAAAAGGCCAAAACGAACGCGAAACGAAATCAGATGGTACACTTCATACCTCTGTAGTGCCTCTTGTCTGTTATCTATATATACTGGTAATTTGTTGTTAGCTAACTTGTGGGGCCCTAATGAGCTTCCCAGCAGTCAGTAACGTGCCCGCGTGTGCCCATATTAGGGTGTATTCCTAGCTCGTGTATGACATCAGGTCATCCACCGTTGGATGCTCGGAAGACCTGAAGTGGCTAGAAATAGGGGCAAATCAACATTAGGGGAGACAAACATGAGACAGGGCGGATGACATGATGTCAGACACAAGCTAGGAATGTACCCTTAGGGAACGTTCCTGTGGAGACACTTCTGTCTCAACCCCCATTTTCCCGAGTCGTGCCTGTAAAATTTCCCAATGTCGCGTCACAAACATCGAATGTACCACGACGGATGGAGACAGTTGGACACTTTTCACTGGCTGCGTTAAAAAAGAAGTGTGCAGAGACATGCATTTAATTGGGTGACAGTACACCCGTTTTTCTAACCTCCTGGCAGGGGCGTAGTTTCGATGCGCGGGACTTTTTTTCCCTCACAAGATTGGCATTTTCGGATGTCCAGGTGCATGTGGCCGTGTCGACATTTCGAGTCGCGTGCGCTTTTATTACAATGACAGGTCATTTCGCAATTCGTCAGCAACGTCAGCACATTTCACGCTGACCAACAAAAAACACAGTGAAAGTCGTAGAGAGGCGACTCGCGTTTGAGACATCATGCAGTATATGTTGTTTTTGGGTGTCACAAAGTGATTGTAACACAAGTGTCCCCACAGGAACGTTCCCGAGTGTTGATCAGGCCCTCAGATATCAGCGTAAAACACGCTGATTACGCTGATTTTGTAGCTGTGATTTTCGTTTTCCCTGAAAATTCAGCATATGCTTCAATTTTGCACTGAAATTTCAGTATAACCTACCTTGCCACACTGACCATTTTGCGTGTTGCTGTACAAGTAACACTGACGAAACAGTATAGCGATGCGAGTCACACTGAAACGGACTTGACCGCGTGTGTGGGGGAAAGGGGGGGGGGGGGGGGGGGGGGGGGGGGAGGGGGGGAGAGAGAGGGTACACGTGTATAGTCTGTACCTTCCCGTGAATCACGAAACCCCACCCGCACACGGGATTTTTCTGCATGCGCTGCACAGATATCAGGGGCGCGCCCTTGTTAGAATCTAGCAGCAGGAATGATTGAACTAGCAGCATGCAGGAGTACAAGTAGTAAACCCTAATTTGGGTTGTACCCCATATGGGCTACCCCACTACAGCCTAGACAATATGCTGCATAAGTTTGACACACCCCCATAGGCAAAGTGGGGGAGAACAAGGGGTCACACGACCAGTCAAGAGAAACAAAGCAAGCTCAGGGTGGATCACAACGTCACCACACTCTGAGCACAAGCAAAGGGCCACAAGGCCAGTTCACATGCAGAGATATATATATGCAGCAATAACAGTACAGTGATGACTACCTAGCAGAAGCAGGCATGCAGGTATATATATAGATCATAGTACAAGCAAAGACTACAACAAGTGTGGAAACGTAGGCACAAGGCCTAACAGGGTACAAAAGCGCTGATGATCACCAGACGGAAGTGCCTTGGTGAATATATCAGCAGTGTTGGCCCGAGTGGCCACGTAACGAAGACGAAGCTGACCTCGCTGCTGCAACTCTCGAGCCAGGAAGTAATGCAGAGCGATGTGCTTTGTTCTGTGCTCCAGTCTATGCTCCTCACACAAGGCAATGGCGGCCTTGTTGTCGACGTACAGCACTGGAGGAGAACGAGGCTGCTCTCCCAAGTCAGTCAGCAGGTAGGTGAGCCAGCGTAACTCCTGTGCAGCCATGGCTGTGGCGTAGATCTCAGCCTCACAACTGGAGCTGAGAACTGAAGACGAGCGTGTAGAACGCCACGAAACTGAACCAGAGCCAAGGCTGAAGGTGTAACACTGTGACGACCGCTGAGTAGCCATGTCGTCAACCCAAGAAGCGTCTGAGTGCCCAGTGAGGACAACTGGGCTCGTCCCTCCAAGCACTAGCCCCATGCCTGATGTGCTGCACAAGTAGCACAGTACCCTCTTAGCAGCAGCCATGTGCTCAGGTCGGTGCCGACCAGGAGCCACGTAGCGAGCCAGAAGACCAAGAGGGTACGCGAGGTCAGGTCGAGTGCAAGTCATCAGGTACATGAGGCAGCCGACTAGCTCTGGGTAATGACCACTCGGCTCTACGGACTCGTCCGAAGGTGGAGCTGAGAGCGAGTGACCTGTAGCCAGAGGAGTGGCCTGTGCTGAAGACCAGGTGAAGCCGAAGCGCTGAAGGACCTGCTGCACCATGTGTGACTGAGTCAAGGTGATGGTGCGACGTGCTCTGTCTCGGGTGATCTGCAAGCCAAGGTAGCTGCGCAGCTCACCCAAGTCTGTGCACGTGTGTCTCTTCTGCAGCTCCGACTTCACGTGGGCGAGAGCCTCAGTGTCAGCAGTGGCAAAAACCAAGTCGTCGACGTACACGAGGATGTAGAACGGCGGCAGGGAAGTGTCGGTGCGCAGAAACAGCGACGGGTCAGCAGTAGAAGGCGCGAACCCAAGAGCCGCAAGCGTAGTCCTCAGTGTGTCGTGCCACTCACGTGGCGCCTGGCGGAGACCATAGACCGGCCGCCGGAGGCTCCACTTGGTACCAGGAGGGAACGACCCAGTGAAGCCCGGGGGGCGACGCAGCCAGATCTCCTCGTGCAGGCTGCCTTGCAAGAAAGCTGTGCTGAAGTCAAGAGAGTGAAGCTCGTAGTCACGGTGAGCAGCAACGTGCAGCAGCACCCGAAGAGTGGTCATCTTC